GGGGGGCTGGTGCGGGGGGCTGGGGAGGCTGGGCTGCTGGCAGGGTGCTCCCAGGAGGGTTTTCCTGCGCTGGCGGGGACAGAGGGGGAACCCAGGGCGAGCTTTGCTGGTGCTGGGTGCCCCCCATGGTGGAGGAGCTGCAGATTTGGGGCTTCTGGGGGACAGTGGGAGGTGGCAGCAGCTGTGCACAGGAGGGACATCTGGGCAGGGACCTGATGGGGTCCAGAGCCCTGTGAGGCCCCGGCGTGGGGGGGCACGTTGGGGGTGGCACACTGGGCACCCTCCTGCCAGGGATGGCTGGGACACCTCAGGGTGACAGGGCAGTGGGGATGTGAGGACCAGGCCCTGAGGAGGGCAGGCTGGGGGGTGAGGGGACTGTGGCATCTCCAGGGCAGCCTGGAGGCTGGTGAGGTCCTGGGGACATGAAGCAGGAGGGATGGCAAGAGGTCCCTGCACTGCCTGGGGCTGGAGAAGGCTCGGACGGCTTCAGGGGGAGAAGAGGTGAGGCAGAGCCAGGCCAGCTGGAGACTCTGCAGTAGTGCCAGGAGAAGGATCCTGAGGTGCTGTTTGGGCTGGCTGGCTGCGCACTGGCTCCTGGGGCAGGAGGGGCACAGGCTGCAAAGGGGACCCAGCGTGTCCTACCCTTCCTCCCACTGCTGTCTGCGGGGACAGTGCCAGGCATCCCCCCTCCAGGAGCCCTGCCTGCCCTGCGGGGTGGTGGGCAGCCTCCGCACCCCCTCCACTTCTCCTGCAGCCCAGTGTCCCACATAGCGTGGCCCGTACGGCGCATCCCATCCCCTGCAGCCTGGCATGTCACGCAGCATCCAGCGCAGCACATCCCACCCCATGCAGCATGTCCTCCGTGGCATGCCCCGTCCCGTTGCAGCCTGGCATCCCACGCCGTGCACCCCAGGCTGTGCACCCTGCACAGCGCGTTGCCTCCTGCTGCTGGCTGACCCAGCACCAAGGCACAGCCGGGTTTGTGGCACCCCAGATCTCTAGAGGGGGAGTGCTGCCTGCCCGCTCTGGGCCGGGTGGCTCCTGCCGGGCTGCTATACATAGGTAGGCCAGCCCTGCCCCGGCGAGGCGCTGAATGGAGCAGGCTCAGTCTTATCAACCCAGCATGTCATCAGAGGGTATTTTTGGGGACAGCAGCTGCAGGCATTTGTAACGTTTGGTCCCTGCGCGCTGACACCCGGGAGCGGAGCTGGGGGAAGCAGCAGGAGCCGGGTGCCAGCACTGGGAGACACGGGGGAGAGGCGGCGGAGCGAGGTGCGTGTGTGGGGCAGGGGACTGAGCTGTGGGGCTGCGTGGGGCAGGGCAATTGGGGAAGGGGGTGGTTAGAGGGGGCAGCTGGGCGGCCGAGCCATCAGGGCTGTGCGTGTCTGCGGGCACTACTGTGGGGTGGCCTGTGGGTCAGGGGAGTGTGTGGCCGGGGAGGGGGCTCTGAATGGATGCACTGTCCCAGGGGTAGGGGTCTGGGTGAAGCTGGCCCTGGTCCCTGCTGCTCCTTGGGGACCAGCCCTCTCCCACTGTCCCCTCTGGGTCATTCAGGGAGTATTTTTATTTCTCTTCCCCCTGCCGGAGGGAGGCAGAGATGCCTCCGCCCCAGCCATGGTGCGGGCAGAGGCTGGGGTGCACTCGCTCAGAGGAGGCACGGAGCACCCTGCCCCGCTCCTGCCTGTGCTGGTGGGCACGGTTACCCGCAGCACTGGGGATGAAGGCAGTGCCCTCCGAAAGCAGGACCCATCTCCCCAGCCTTCCCTCTGCCCCCTGAGGCTGATAATTTCCAGCCGTGGCTTTCAATACCCAAGGGCCGGATCCTGCCTGTGGGACCACACTCTGGAGGGGGGACCTGCTCCAGGGGCAGCCCCGCTTTGCCCCAGGGCATGGCCTTGCAGGGTGACCACTGGGCGCAGGGGGGGTCCCTGCCCCTCTGAGCCCGGGGGGGGAGCACCCAGGTCCGGCCCGGTGCCTCCCACCCGCGACAGCCCCGTATCAGCACCTGCCTTCTGAGCCAGCCCAGATGCTGCAGGAATGCGGCTCTGCCACCACCCGATACTGCAGGAATGCCCCGCGGGTGGGGAAGGGGCAGACTGGGGCCTGTCCTGCCTCCACCATCCCCAGCACCCGGCAAGCAGCTGCCTGCGCTCCCGGTCTAGGCGGGGGTCCCCCGCCGCCGGAGCTGGGGTCCCCTCTGCGACCCTGGGGCAGGCTGTGGGAGCCCAGGCCCCTTGGGGTGCAAAGAGTCGCCTTTTGTTCCCTCTTCTATTGCTGCTGGGCTGGGAAATGGGTGATTCAGGCTGAGACAGGAGAGTATCCAGTGGGGCTGGGGTGCTCAGAGCGAGGGTGGTGCTTCTGCAGCATGGGGTCCATCGCTCTGGGCACGGGTCCCTCCTGGTGGTGCTCCACACCGGTCCCTTTGCTGAAGCCTGAGCCCCCACCCCGGTCCGTCTGTGCATCCCCCCAGGCTGATGATCTCCACTGCTGCTCCAGCCAGCCACCTGCCGTGACCCTGAGGAGGTGGTGATGGAGGGGTTCGGGGGAGCCCCCAGGTTCCTGGCCTACCCGCGTGCCTTCACAGTGCGAAGCGGCACTGACGCGGTCCTGAGCTGCCAGATCACAGGTGACCCCCGGCCGAGCATCCTGTGGGAGAAGGACAAGACCCCAATCGAGCCCTCGGGCCGCTTCCATGTGGAGGCCAAGGGGGACCTGTACAGCCTGCTGGTGTCCCGTGCCACCCCTCAGGACAGCGGGCTCTACGTCTGCAAGGCCAAGAACAGCGTTGGCGCGACCTACGCTGCTGCTACACTCAAGGTGGAGGCAGGGGAGCCCCAAGAGGAGGAGGGATGCTCGGGCGGTGAGGCGCCTGCCTTCCTCGTTGCCCCCTCGTCCACACGGGTGTGCCGGGGGGAAGACGTGATGTTCACCTGCAGGGTGTCCGGGCAGCCCTGCCCGGTGCTGGAATGGGAGAAGGATGGGCACAAGCTCTCTGACATCTTCGAGAGCAGCCACTTCGCTGTGGGGCAGGAGCCGGAGGACTGGCACTTCCTGAAGCTGTTCAGTGCCCGGCCCCCGGACGGGGGGGTGTACGTGTGCCGGGCACGTAGTGGCTCACGGGAAGCCCTGGCTGCTGCCGTGCTCCTGGTCGAACCCCAGGTGCTGCCGGACGGGCTCCCCAATGGCTCTCCTGCTGATGGCCCCGAGCCACCGGCGGAGCGGCAGCAGCGGCGGCGGCGGCACGCAGAGGGACGTCGCGCGGGACCAGAGACCTGGATGCCCAATGGTGTGGTGCCGGCCGGGGTGCCGAGGGCCAAGGCGTTCGCCGTGAGCGTGGGGAAGCACGCCAAGTTTCGCTGCTACGTTACCGGCAAGCCCAAGCCAGAGATCGTCTGGCAGAAGGACGGTGAGCCCCTCGCCCCTGGCCGCAGGCACCTCATCTACGAGGACCGGGAGGGCTACTTCATCCTCAAGGTGCTGTACTGCAAACCCCAGGACCAGGGGCTGTATGTCTGCACTGCGTCCAACACTGCCGGCCAGACCCTCAGTGCAGTGCAGCTCCAGGTGAAAGGTAGGAGCGTGCCCAAGAGCTGCCTGGGGCGGACGGGTGCTGGTGGGGTCCAGGGCTTTTCGTCTGGCAGGGATACATCTGTGTGTGAGCCCAGCATCCCTGGGCTCCCTCCTGCCCTGTGCATCTGGGGTCACCCCAGGCTCCTCCGGACAGAGCTGCGGGCTGGAAGCAGGGGATGCTGGGCTCCTCCGGGGAGCTGTGTCCCCCTCCGTGCCCCTTTCTCCTTGCAAACAGAGAGGTGGCATCTCTGGAGGTCTGCGGGCATCCAGCCACGAGCGGGGAGGGGCGACAGTGCCTTGGTGACAAATTCCCCTGGAAGTGCTGAGTGGTTTTGGCGGGCAGCCCTGCAGGGCACGGCTCCAAGCGTCTGCGCTGGTGGCAGCCCCATCCCGCAGAGCCGCCCTGCCAGCTGGGGACAGCCCGTGGCTGGGGTGACCCGGCACCTGGTGCATCCCCCGCCTGCACCCCGCCTCCCCTCTGCTGAGATGGCTGCCCCTGCCTGCTAGCATGCATGCTCCTGCGTCCCCCAAACTCCCTGCTGAGATGCTGGGGGCATTGCTGGGTCTCCCCAGCCCAGGCCCTGGTTCTCTCCACTCTGGGGGATGTGCTTCCCGGGGCAGTGCCTGTCACACGCAGGTCGGAGAGGGGCAGAGAAGGGCCAAGGGCTCGGTGCTCTTTGCGAGCTGGGAACGCCCTGAGCGAAGGGCTGCTGGCGGATGCTGTGCCCTGCACACCCTCAGCGCCCGTCTCTCCTGGCGGCAGAGCACCGGCTGCGGTTCCAGGTGCAGCTGACAGACGTGGAGGTGGCAGAGCGGGAGGACGCCGTGCTGGAGTGCCAGGTGCCGCTGGAGACCATCCCCACAGCCTGGTACCTGGAGGACAGGGAGCTGCAGCCCAGCCACAAGTATGTGATGGAGGAGCAAGGCGTGGTGCGGCGCCTGACCATCCGCGACGCCCGCACCGACGACGATGGCATCTACCTCTGCCAGATGAAGGACAAGGGGCGCAGCATCGCCGAGGTCTCCGTCCGAGGTGAGGGTCAGGTCTCTGGCGGCGTGGCTTTGCCTTCCTCTCCCCCTCCTTGCCAGGCTCGGCACTGCATCAGCCCCCTGTGTCAGTCTTCCCACTCTTTGGCCATGGTGCCTGCTGCTGCCCCTCCTCAACCTCACCCTCCTCCCCTCTCCCACCCCAGGGAGCCCACCCTGCTCCTCAGCATCCCTCCTTGGCCCTCATGCATCTCTTCCCACAGGGGTGATCGCAAAGCGGCTGCCGCGGAAGCTGGACGTGATGGAGGGGGAGAACGCTGTTTTCTGTGTGGAGACGCAGGAGGTGGTGGAGGGGACCTGCTGGAGCCGGGACGGGCTGCAGCTGCGAGAGTCACCCCACATCGTGCTGAAGAGCTTCGGCAGGACGCACCTCCTGGTGCTGGTGCACGTCACCCGCCAGGATGCGGGCATCATCTCCTTTGCTGTCGGGGAGTCACAGACGTCCTCCCAGCTCCGGGTCAAGTGTAAGCCCCAGGCTCAGAGGGGCCCCACATCTGCCATCCTGGCCATTCATGGGGGTGACACGGGGGAGAGACGGGATGGGCACCCACTATGCTGGGGACGTGACGCTACGGTGGCTTTTTGTGGAGGGGGGCTTTTAGCAGGGCTCCAGGGCCCCAGCCTTGCTGGCACTCACAGATCCCTGTAACCAGCACCATGCTACACGGGAGCAAGACCATCCTCTCCATCAGAGAGAGGATCCCCGGAGACACACTCAGCCCTTCTGCCACCCCGCCAGGAGCCTCACTGCCATCCCCAAGCAGGCAACACGGGCTGTGACTTGCAGGTGTGAAGCGTGACCCCCCGAGCGCGCCGGTGGCAGCCGAGATGAGCGTGGCGGAGAGCAACGCGGCCCTGCTGACCTGGTGCCCCGCGCCCGATGCCCACCTCCGCCCCCCCAGCCGCTACCTGCTGGAGCGGCGAGAGGCTGCGGGGGGCGAGTGGGTGCAGTGCCTCGCCACCGACCTGCCCGGCCACGTGCGGGTGCTGGGTGACAGTGTGCCCCGTGAGGCCGACTACTGCTTCCGCATCTGCGCCGCCAACGAGCACGGCAGGAGCAGCCCCGTGGAGTTCCCCGGCTCCGTGCATCTCGGTGAGGGTGCTGAGCCGGGGACCCCCACCTGGAAGCCGGCTCTCCCCAGAGGCCAGCCAGGATGTCGTGCCACGGCACTGAGTCCGGCTGTGCTCCAGCCCCAGCAGCTCGCCTGGAGAGGGGTCTGCAGGATGCACGGGTGCGGGATGGTGAGGACGCGCGGTTCTCCCTGGAGCTGTCGGCTGCGGTGCACGGCACCTGGATCCTCAACGGTGCCAGGCTGGGCGAGGAGGAGGAGGAGGGGGTGGGTGGCCGGTGCAGCGTGCAGCGCCATGGGACGGAGCACTCGCTGCTGATCCGGGGAGTGCGGCTGGCCGACAGCGGGGCCCAGGTCACCTTCGTGTCCGGTGGCGTGCGGGACTCGGCCATGCTGCACGTGCAAGGTGAGTGGGGTGCTCACCCAGAGGTCCTGCCAGAAGAGCAGCAGGGGCTCTCATGCTGGGCGATGCTTCTCACCCCTCCACGACGTCTCTCAGCTCCTCAGGTCTGCATTGCCCCGGTGCCCGAGGCCGAGCGCCTCCGGGAAGTGCCGGAGGGGCTGCCCGTACTGCTGGAGTGCCAGGTGTCCCCCCCGGGTGCCTCCATCTGCTGGCTGAAGGATGGCGAGGCCGTGCCCCCAGACGATGTTATTGCACTGCAGGCGGAGGGCTGCGTGCGGAGGCTGCTCCTCCGCTCGGCTGGTCCCTCGGACACCGGCGTGTACACCTGTGATGCTGGGGATGATGCTGTGAGCTTTGTGGTGACCGTGACCGGTGAGCTGGGGACTGTGTGTGGGAGCCTGGACCCCACCTCCTGACAGTGCTCCTGACCCTCTTCTTGCCCCATTATGGGGCCGACAGCTGCTGTCAGTCGGGTGCCTGTACTGAGCCCCGTGTTATCCCTGGCAGAGGCACCGGTGAGGATCGTCAGCTCTAACGAGGAAGCCCCCCATGCCTACGCGGCCGGGCAGCGCGTGGAGCTGTGGTGCCAGCTGTCCCGCCCAGTGGCCCCGGTGCGCTGGTACAAGGACGGGGAGGAGGTGGAGGCGGGCGAGAACCTGGTGCTGGAGCAGGAGGGGCCGTGGCGCCGGCTGGTGCTGCCCTGTGCCCGGCCGCAGGACGCGGGGGAGTTCGTCTGCGATGCCGGAGGGGACTCCGTCTTCTACACCGTCACTGTGGCAGGTGGGTGATGCAGGCAGGTTGGCAGGGTCACACCTTGGGGGGCTTGCTTTGGTGGTGCAGGGTGCCACAGCACGTGTCGCTGTCGCTTGCTGCTCTGGGGTTGGGGATGCTCCTCAGAGATGCTTTTGTCAGGTCCTCGTCACAGCAGGTCGGGCAGGTGGGGTCTTTGCAGCAGCTCTGGTGCGCAAAACCACGCAGACTGACTGGCAAAGGGGACAGCTCACACTGCTGGTCTGAAACACTTGGGTGCCCGAGGGCTGGCACCCAGCACCCCCACACCAGGTGTTTGCCGGAGCTCTCCCACGGTCAGTAAACAAGCCCTCCTCTGAGTTCCTAAAAATAGTGGGTACAAGTGCCCAGCAGCTGGCGTGGGGTGACTCACGGTTGGACATCACTCTGAGGGCCGGTGTTAATTGCTGACCTGAAAATTAGCAGTTGCCTGGATACCGACGACTGGGTGGTGTTTGCTGGGTGTGAGCGGGGGATGGCATCCCATGGTGGCTGCCCCGGCCATGGAGCGGCTGCTGGCGTCTCCAGCCGGCAGAGGATAATGAAAGCTGAAAGCAAGTGAAAGACTTCCCCTTGCTGGCCCTGAAACCCACAATCCCGCAACCACAGGAAGGCGACCGGGGGCAGAGCTAAAGCCTGGTTAAAAGGCTCCGTGACCACAGCAGTAAAGCCTCTCCACAGTGTTAATACGTGGCAAAGGGCCAGAGTCGATGGCAGAGGATGTAGGAATGAAGATGGGATGAGTGCTAAGAGATGCTGGAAGAGACAGTGAAGTGGTGACTGCTGGGAGGGTGAAGAAGGGAGGGGGTTTTGTGTGATAAAGGCAAAATTGCCAGTGAGAAGGACGTGCAGTGTGGGCTTTGGGCAGAGACAGGAGGCATCGTCCGCCCTGCAAGGGTGCGGGGCATGGAGAGCTCGGCTTCCCTAGCGTGGGAGGGGGGAACACCATCTGCTGAAGCTCAGCCTTTCGGCTGAGCAGCTTTGCATCACTTCGGCAGAAGGGTCTTAGAGACGCTGGCTCAGTTCGATCAGGATTTGGCCATCGGTGTCACCGGCAGGGCTGGGGGTGGGTGCTGGGAGGCTCAGGCTGGCACCTCTCTGGCACAAGTGCCGGGCTGGCTGCTGCAGTCAGCGCTGGTGTGGCACGCCTGGGTTTCCCCGAGGCATCCCAGCTATCCTCCATGGACTGCTGCGGCATGGAGCCCTCCTGCCTCAAGCCCGGCCACCCCCGCGTGCCTCTGGGTTTTCCGGCAGCTGCCGAACGCTGGGGCTCCCTCAGAGCCGGTGGTGGGGCTGGGGCCAGAGCGGTGCTGCCTGCCGAGGGCTGGCACATGGCCCCCTCCTCGCTTCAGTGCCATTCAACATCTCCAGCTGTACTTCAGCGATGTGATTGCTTTTAGCAGGCCCAGGGAGACAGGCAGCCGCCGAGCGTTTGATCAGGGAGCCGGGCGGATGCAGGCTCAGCGTGGTGCAGGTTGAATGCTGCAAACTGGCTCCGTGCCACTTTCGTGCGCTGCAGGGCTGCGGTGTGCTGCTGAGCCTGGGCATCGCGGCTGGAAACTGTCTGGGAAGTTTGCAGCCCGGATGCCCAGCACGGGGCAGCTGCAGGCCGTGAGAAGGGCAGGTTGCCACTTGGCCTCCAGCGTGCTCTGGTGCCAGCTGTGCCCTGTGCCTGCCGGGCTTGCTGAGCACCCATGGCAGAGTCCAGGCCAGCTACGGCCCGCTGCAATGTGTGTGGCCGGGCAGGCAGTGTTGGCTGCTGCAGGCCGGGGCCACATCCTGACCTTCTTCCAGGAGACAGGAGGGCTGGTCACCTATAGCTTGTACTGGGAGCCCCTCTCTAAAGAGAGATTCCATTCAAGTCAGGGGGGAGATGTGAGCAGTGGCACACATTTCGTATGTAACCTATTAACGGTGGCATTTAGTGAGCACTGCAATCTGGCATGGGGTCCCAGGTCCCCGTGAGCTGGAGGGATGGGGCTGCTGGCTGCAAGCGAGCCATTCGCCTGTGCCACAGTGTTGGTAAATGCCAAGGCTGAGCTGAGACAGAAGCACCAGCTGGAACCCGGTGGCCTCCGAAATGGGGAGACAGGCAGAGGGGTGGGCGTCCTCTGGTAGGGCAGCCACAGGGGCTGGTGCTGACACCACAGATGGCAATTAGCAGTGCTGGGGCTTGCTAACAAGGCACTTGCCTGCTTGCATCCCCCCTCCACATTGCTCAGCTCTGTCCTGGGTCAGAGCAGGGCAGGTACCGTGGGAGCGAGGGGACGGCACCAATTTACAGCCAGCTGGAAGCCAGATGCTCCTCCTGGGTGCAATGGGTGAGGAGAAGAGGGAGCCCCAGCCAGGGCCGCCCAGCCACTTGTGCTATGTGGGGTGTGGATGAGGTGGTGCCTTCCAACCTTAAAGCCAATGAGCCGGTGAAGCCATCGCTCTATGCAGGGCTGTGACTGCCACCATCACCTACTCTGGTCTTTACATCCTGGCTGAGTCCCGTGTCTCTACCAGCAGAGGCACCGGTGAGGATCGTCAGCTCTAACGAGGAAGCCCCCCATGCCTACGCGGCCGGGCAGCGCGTGGAGCTGTGGTGCCAGCTGTCCCGCCCGGCGGCCCCGGTGCGCTGGTACAAGGACGGGGAGGAGGTGGAGGCGGGCGAGAACCTGGTGCTGGAGCAGGAGGGGCCGTGGCGCCGGCTGGTGCTGCCCTGTGCCCGGCCGCAGGACGCGGGGGAGTTCGTCTGCGATGCCGGAGGGGACTCCGTCTTCTACACCGTCACTGTGGCAGGTGGGTGCAACGCACAGCGACGGCCCTCTGCCCCTTCTACCTCTGTCCTGGCTCCCTGCTCACGCTGCCGTTCCACAGGCAGCTGCAGCACCTCAGCTGCCCCTCGCCTCCTCGTGTGCGGCTCCTTGCCCGTGCCCCTGGGCTGGAGGGGGATGTGGGCAGGGGCAGGTCAGCTGCTCTGTCTCCTCCTGGAGCCCTGTGCCACGCTGCCTGCCCATGGGTTATGCCACCTCACACCCCAGCCCTAGTGCTCCCTCGCCTTTCGGCTACTAGCGCTGCAGGGCTGGGATGATGCCGGCCACAGCCCCAGGTCAGGTAGAATGGAGGCCAAGTGACACAGGGTCTTGGTCCTCTCAGCCCCACAGGTCCGCATTGCCCCGGTGCCCAAAGCACAGCAGCTCCAGGAGGTGCTGGTGGGGCTGACTGTGCTGCTGGAGTGCCAGGTGTCCCCCCCAGATGCCCCTGTCCGCTGGCTGAAGGACGGCGAGGCCGTGGTCCCGACCGAGGTCCTGGCCATTCACTCAGAGGGATGCTCGCGGAGGCTGCACATCCCCGCAGCCGTGGCATCCGACTCGGGGATGTACACCTGCGATGCCGGGGACCATGCTGCCAGCTTCAGGGTGACCGTCAGCGGTGAGCTGCCCGGGGGTTGCCCGTCCTCATGTGGGGCTCACCTAGTACAGCAGCTAAGCCCCGCCATGTGTCCCCCGGCAGATGCACCGGTGAGGATCATCAGCTCTAACGAGGAAGCCCCCCATGCCTATGTAGTGGGGCAGCGTGTGAAGCTGTGGTGCCAGCTGTCCCACCCGGCGGCCCCGGTGCGCTGGTACAAGGACGGGGAGGAGGTGGAGGCGGGCGAGAACCTGGTGCTGGAGCAGGAGGGGCCGTGGCACCGGCTGGTGCTGCCCTGTGCTCGGCTGCAGGACACGGGGGAGTTCATCTGTGACGCCAGGGATGCGTCTGTCTCTTACCACGTCTCGGTGGCAGGTTGGTGGCACAGCAGGGATGCCCTTGGAAGGGCAGTGCTGCCCTGGCTTTGTGCCATGGTGTCCCCAGCCCTGCTCCCTGCCCTCAGCATCGCAGAGGAGGGAGTGTGGCTGCATCACCCTGGGGCTGGTGGGTGCCCCCCTCCAGCCATGCTGGGCTGGCACTGTGTGCCCGCCTCCCCTGCCCTCAAGCAGCTCCTGCCCCTTTGCACTGGGGTGAGAGGCTGCTGCATCTATGCAGCCCCATGGGGACAGGGATACAGGTGACTGTAAGTAGGGACAGCAGAGCCAGGAGCAGTGCAGAGAGCAGGTCTCATACTCTTCCTCCACATCCCCGGCAGAGCCACCAGTGAGGATCCTGCACCCTCTGCAGCGCTCACTGGAGCTGCCGGTGCAGGCACCAGGGCGCGTGGAGCTGCGGTGCGAGCTCTCTGTGCCAGAGGCTCCCGTACGCTGGTTCAAGGACGGGCTGGAGGTTGACGAGACCGACAACCTGCTGCTGCTGGCGGAGGGGGCCTGGCGCTGCCTCCTTATCCCCCAGAGCAGCGCAGAGGACACAGGCGAGTACATCTGCGAGAGCAAGGATGAGGCCGTCTCCTTTGACGTCAAGGTGTCAGGTCAGTGGGGACCCAGGAGCAGGGACACACTGACAGGGCTCTGGCAATGGGGTCTTTCCCAGCCTGGGCGAGGGGGACCGGCTCCTCTGTAGTGGCGGAGCCTGTGGGTTCCCACCCCCCAGGTGCCAGGCCACCCAGAGAGGGTGCTCACCTGAGGCTGGCAGCAGAGGCGTCCCCGGGGCCGTGTTGTCCCTGCGCTGCTTTGCATCACGGCCACACCGTCCTTGCAGAGCCGCCGGTGCGGATCCTGCAGCCCCGCAGACCTCTTCCTGTCGTGACGGTGTCCCCAGGGGAGACGGTGGCGCTGGGCTGTGAGCTGTCCCGTGCGGATGCGCCTGTGCACTGGGCCAAGGATGGTGTCAGGCTGGAGGCTGGGGGCAGCCTGGTCCTGGAGGAGGAGGGTGCCCACCGCCGCCTGCTCATCCCCGCGGCCCGAGCTGAGCACTCCGGAAAATACATCTGCGATGCCGCCGATGACACGGTGACCTTCACTGTCCAAGTGTTGGGTGAGCAAGAGGCTGGGGGAGAGCCTGGTGGGGGATACTGGATGCACGGACCCCAGAGACCCCAGCTCCGTTGGTGTTGGGTGCTGCAGACCCGCTGGTCAGGATCCTGGAGAGGGACGTCCTGCCGACCCGCCGGCATTGCTGGGCCATGGAGGACCTGGTGCTGGAGGTGCACCTCTCGCACGCCCACGGGGAGGTGAAGTGGTACAAGGACGGGGAGAAGCTGCAGGACACGGGGCGTGTGCGCCTGGAAGAGGATGGGGCACGCCGCTCCCTCGTCATCCTGGGCGCCACGGGCAGGGACGCAGGGGAGTATCTCTGCGACACCGGCGATGACAGCATCGTCTTCTTCGTCACCGTGGAAGGTGAGCGGGAGGTCCCGGGGGGGACAGCCAGCAGGGCGAGGACCGAGGTGGGTCCCTGGCTGCTGCCAGGCTGGTGTGGGGCTGGGCTGGGTGGCAGTGGGCACAAGGAGGCTGGTGGGGAGCGGGCTGCACCCACGCAGGCGCTCTGTGGAAACCCCTGCGCTGCCTGGCTGCAGCTAGAGGAGGTCCAGGTAGATCTGGCCGTTGCAGCATCCAGCACAGGCTGCTGCTCACCTGGTAACAGCCTGTCTCTCCAGTCCCAGAGCCACCGGTGACCATCGTGGGCAGCATGGGCGCTGCGGAGCATCAATACTTGGTGGCCGGGGAGGACCTGGTGCTGGCTTATGAGCTCTCCCATCCCGACACCACTGTGCGCTGGCTCCGGGATGGCCAGGAGGTGCAGCCGGGTGAGCGGGTGCAGGTGGAGGCCAGTGGGGTGCTGCGGCAGCTCACCGTCCGTGGAGTGCAGCCCAGCGACTCGGGGTGCTACGTCTGCGATGCCGCCAGCGACCGCGTGGTGATGAATGTGGAGGTGTTGGGTGAGCTGGCAGGAGCCCAGTGCCACAGGGACCCCCCAGCACGGTGGGATCGTGCCACAGCCCTGGGCGGGGGGAGGGGATGTCTCTGTGACCCCGCTGATGGCCAAGGCCAGGGTGGCAGCGTGGCAGCGGAGGTCGGGACCCCTGTCTCCGACCCCGCAGGAGCCGTTGGTCGGAAAGGGACATGTCAGGGTCATGGTGAGATATGTCCCTCCCGCCTCCTCCAGCCAGGGGCTGGTTAAATTTAGCCTTGGCCGGCTCCCAGGCGCCGCTCCTCCTGCTTTGGCTGCCAAGGGCTGAGCTCAGCCTGGACCCTTATCAGCTGAAGATGGAGGGCTGGGGCAGGGTGGGAGAAGGCCTGGCACAGGCAGGTGTTCCAGCTCCCCAGCAAGGTGCTCGGTATGGGGGACGCACCAAAATTAAGGGCCCCAACCTGGCAGCTGAGCTGCCTGTGCCGGGAGGGATGCAGGAGCAATGGGCTCTGCCGCCATCCCTGACTTGGGCCCCTTTCCCGAGGGGACCCTGAGCTGCCAGATGCTGCCAGCCGGCACACCTGCCCCGCCGGGACCCCCAGGCTGGTCCCACCGGCACCCCCAGCTGGTCCCACCTTGACCCCCAGCCAAACGCACAGCCCTCCTGCCCCATGATGACTCACTGTGGGCATTGCCACCTCTCCGCTCGCAGCGGTCCCGTCCCTGCGCTGCCCCGCACCACGGGGACACCCCTGAGCCCTGCCTTGTCTCCCACGCCCCCCAGCCCAGCCCGTGCGCGTTGTCAACAAGGAGGAAGCACAGAGCCCGCTGGAGGTGCTGGAAGGGGACAGCGTGACGCTGGTGGCCCGGCTGTCCCCGGAGACGGCAGCCGTGCAGTGGCAGAAGGATGGACAGACGCTGCGCTCGGGCGGGCGGCTGCTGGTGTGCAGCGAGGGCCCCGTGCGCAGCCTCACCATCAAGCAAGCGGAGCTGGGTGACGGCGGCATCTTCCTCTGCGATGCTGGTGACGATGAGGTGCATTTCACGCTGCACGTGAAAGGTGAGCCTGGAGGTGTCCCTCACCCATGCCGGGGGGCAGGAGCTGTCCCCTGCCCTGCGCTGGGATGCTTCATGCCCCCATCCCATGCTGGTGCCACCGGAGGGGACACGGCTGAGCCCGGTTCTTCCCCGGCACAGAGGCGCCCGTGCTGTTCGTGAACAAGCAGGAGGAGCGGGAGAAGCTGCTGGTGCTGGAGGGTGGCAGCGCCGTGCTGTCCGCCGTCGCCTCCACGGAGCGAGCCGATGTCACCTGGCTGGGCCCGCGGCAGGCGGCGGTGGCCGGCGAGCGCTGCGAGCTGCGGCGGGACGGCCGTGTGCACAGCCTCGTCCTCTGCAACGTGGCCAAGGAGGATGCCGGCGTCTACCCCTGCCTCTCCCCCCACGACCAGATGCAGTTCGACGTGAGCGTCCGAGGTGGGCGGGGGGGGGGGGGGGGGGGGGGC